GTCGGGCCGCGGGTTGACCTCCATGTTGGAGAACAGCCGCAGCGACGAGATGCTCTGCAGGGCCTTGCGCCCCGCCTCAATGTTGAATCCGTTGTCAGGCTTGATCTGGTGGGGCGAAACGGGAGATGGGGAGGGAGGGAGGGAGGGAGGGAGGGAGGGAGGGAGGGAGGGAGGGAGGGAGGGAGGGAGGGAGGGAGGGAGGGAGGGAGGGAGGGAGGGAGGGAGGGAGGGAGGGAGGGAGGGAGGGAGGGAGGGAGGGAGGGAGGGAGGGAGGGAGGGAGGGAGCGAGGGAGGGAGGGAGGGAGGGAGGGAGGGAGGGAGGGAGGGAGGGAGAGAGGGAGGGAGGGAGGGAGGGAGGGAGAGAGGGAGGGAGGGAGGGAGGGAGAGAGGGAGGGAGGGACAGCAAGGAAGCACAGGTGCTGGTTTGCCTTTGTACAGAAACACGGCTGCAGCAGCTGGGCCTTGAGGTTGTGGCTGCAAACTGATGGTACTGGTGATGCTCAGATGCTCGAGTTCGGCATCAGCAATAGCGTCTCGAAAACTGCCACAGCAAGCCCATTCACCGATCTCACGTTCCACAGCCTGCTCTCGTCCGTCATGCCCTCGCAGCTCTCACTTCCTCCCCTCATCGCCCTCATCACACACCCACACCAGGTGGGCCACACACACATGCGGATGGGCAGCTCCCTGAGCACCACCCGCTCGTCCGTCATGCCCTCACAGCTTTCACTTCCCCTGTCAGCCCTCTTTAACCATCTCACGTCACACACTCACCCCCAACAGTCCACTCACCCCCAACACTCCACTCACCCGCTCGTCCGTCATGCCTTCCCTGTGCTGCCATCCCCTCATGGCCCTCTCTATCCCTCCATCCCACTCAAATCTTCGCCTCTCACGCCCTCCAGTCCACCACCCACACTCACCTCGATGGGCAGCTCCCTCAGCACGACGCGCTCGCCCAACATCCCATCGCAGCGTTGCCATCCCCTCATCGCCCTAGCCCTCTCTATCCCTCCATCCGACTCAAAAATTCGCCACACCCACTCCAGTCCACCACCCACACTCACCTCGATGGGCAGCTCCCTCAGCACGACGCGCTCGTCCGTCATGCCCTCGCAGCGCTGCCCCATCTTGTCGAGGAACTGCACCTCCACGCCCGTCACGTCGCCCTCCACCACCTCGCACACGATGTCGGGCGTGTTCAGGTTGCCAAAGTTGATCACCTGAGAGAGGCGGAACGGGGGAAAGGCGGGAGGGACGGGGAAAGGAGGGAGGAAAGGGGGAAAGGGGCGGGAGGAAAGGGGAAAGGCGGGAGGAAAGGGGGAAAGGCGGGAGGAAAGGGGGAAAGGCGGGAGGGACGGGGAAAGGAGGGAGGGACGGGAAGCGAGGAGGAGGAGGGAGGGGAAGCGAGGAGGAGGGAGGGAAGGGAAGCGAGGAGGGAGGGAGGGGAAGCGAGGAGGGGGGTTGGTATACCTCGCTTATCCCAATTATATCCCCCGATCTTCGTTACGCGTTCACTCCCTCTCTCCACCCCTCTCCCCCGCACTCACGAGCACGCTCAGACACACAGACTCACGTTGGCGCAGGCGTAGCCCTTGTCATGGTACCACTTCAGAATGCGGTCCCTAATCTTCTGCAGCATGCGCGCGGTGAGGCGCCCCTCGCGCTGCACCATGGCGCTGAGCTCGTTCTCCACCTTGCGCGGCAGCAGGCACTGCCGCGACTGCCTCAGCCGCTCCGCATACGCCGCCTCCTGCTTCGCCGGGTCCTCCGACGCCTCCTGCCCGCCCGCGTCTGGCTGCACCAGCCCCATGTTCACGCACCGAACCGTCTTCGCCGCCTGCCACTGCGCCTCCAGCACCTTCACCTCCAGCTGAGATCGGTACATCGAGAGCAGGGTTGTGTGTGTTGAAGGGGGGGGGGGGGGGAGGGAGGAGGGAGGACGGGTGGGGAGAGGTGGGGCAGGGGGAGAGGAACGACAGGGGTCAGCAATGGTAGCAAGAGCGCCTGCCTCAGGCGCGCAGCATACGCTGCCTCGTGCCTGGCCTGGTCCCCACGCAGTCTCCTGCCCGCCCGCGTCCGGCTGCACCAGCCCCATGTTGACGCATCTCACCCCATAGCGCTTCTCAGCCGGGGCAACATCCTCTTGGCACGATCCGCCGGAGCACTAAAAACGTGTGGGTGGGTGGGTGAGTATGCTGTGGCCGTGTGGTTTTCGTGTTCTGCTGTACCTGCGTCCGTTCGTCCGGCCATCCTCGCATCTGTTCCACGCTGTGTTTGGATTTCTCTTCTCCGCCCTTATCCTCCTCATCCCCGTTATAAGCCCGCCCATTACACGCCCCTTAGACCCATCCGGGTTGGCAACGCTATCCGCCTGCACCATCTGAAACATGCCACTGCCTATTTTTTAGGCGCCTCAAAAATAGACTCCTGCACCATCTCAAACATGCCACTGCACGCCATCTTCTGCACCTCCCCTTTCAGTTCTAACTTCCACCTAGCTTATCCCCTCCCCGTTATACAGCCACCTTCTTACACGCACCTTGATAGACCCGTCGGGATTAGCGACGGTGTCGGCCTCGACCATCTGGAACATGCCGCTGGACGCCATGTTCTGCACCTCGGCCTCGAGCTGCGCGCGCGTGCACACGGAGCCCTTGGCGACGGACACCATCTCGTAGAAGCCGTCCGCCTTGGGGATGACGCGGTCGCTGCGCTGGTCCACCAGGTCCACCTCCGCCACGCGGTACCGCTTCGTCGTGCTCAGCTTGTCCACCGCCACGCGCGTGCCCGCCTGGGGGGAGGGGATGGGGGGACGAATGGACAACGGGCAACGGGAAGAGGGGAAGAGGGTTGGATGAGAGGACAAGAGAATTCGTCGTGCTTCGCTTGGCCACGGAGACCTGCGTGCCCACCTGGGGGGGGAGGGGGGGGGGGGGGAGATTGGGAGGTGGACACGACGAGGGGAAAGAGGGAACGATAAGGGGACGACGGACTTGGACGTGCCACGCGCGTGCCCGCCTGGGGTGTTGAGACGAAGATAGAAAAGCGCGAAAGACGGTTACGAGCTCGTCGCGCCACGCACCAGTCTATACTCGCGTGCCGTGATCATCGGAACAATCCGTACCCGCATGCCGTGGGGGTCGGAACGATACGTACCCGCAGCCGTGAGGGTCGGAACGATACGTACCCGTATGCCGTGAGAGTCGGAACAATACATACCCGCATGCCGTGGGGGTCGAACTCCTCCGCTTTAGCCGCAACGGCCGCCGTTTTCTTCTCCTTCTCCTTCTTCGCCTTCTCCTCCGCCTCCTTCTTTCCCGCCGCCTCCTTCGCCTTCGCACCCCCCTCCTCCTCCTCTTCCTCCTCCTCCTCTTCCTCCTCTTCGTCGTCCGACTCCTCCTCGTCGTCGCTCTCCTCCTCGTCCTCTGATTCCGACTCCTCATCATCCTCCGCAGCTACAGCCGCATCCCACTCCCACCAATTCCGCTTCCCCCCGCCTCGCCCCTTCCCCCCTCCGCCACCCCCTCCGCCTCCCCCGCCACCGCCGCTGCCGCCTCCCCGCCGCCTCCCCCGCCTCCTATAACACTGGTCAGAATATTAAGACCATCTTGTCGCATTAAGAAGCAACCAATGCCGCTGCCGGCTGCTAGCCCTGCGCCGGTTAATGCGGCTTTCCTGACCCATCCGGAGTCTCCGGAGGAGGTTATTCGGCTCCGATTATGGCTGCCGTTGCTGCTGAGGGCGACGATCTGAAAGGGCCGGCGTCTGGATGAGGAGCGAGAGGAGGCAGGGTGCGGCGGAGGAGTGTGGAGAGCGGCTGGTTGCGATTGAGAGCCCGATGCGGCCTCCAGGGGATGTGTCACGACCAGCGATCTGGTCGGGAGAGATGTATGCATCGCCGGGTGAATGCATGGGGAAGAATGGGAATGGAGTGTTGAGTGAGCCGAGAGCGATCGGACGACGAAGATAAGGAAGCGTATTCTGGAAGCAAAATGCAGCGCCTATTTTGAAGGAAGAACAAACTAGAGGGAGGGAGAGGAAAACCGTAAGGCACTAAGGTGGTTCTACGCGCACGGAAACGGGATTAAGCGAATCGGAACCCTATTTACGAAATCGACAGTAAAACACCACGACTTAAATAAAAGATAGGGCGTACTTGACACTCGCATAGCTAGCAGCGACGGTGCCAGCTGCTGTCGCCATTGTCCTCTGGCGAGGGTCACGGAAGCGTGTGAATGCTCCTTCTGTTAACCAGTCAACTTAATGAGAGCAAGGTAGAAAATATTCAAGCACTGCTGGTTAGGGTTTCACTGGCTAGAGATGCCGTGGGGATAGTGGAATTAGAGACCACCCACGGCGACCAGGCTTCGTGCGATCACTAGCTTGGTCGACTTCTGACCAGAAAGGAGGGAGAAAAAAGAAACAGCAAGAGAAGGAAAGGAAAGGTGATGGCTGGGGGGAAACCAACAGATTGGGAGAGATGGCACGGATGCGAACATCAGCGACTAGCGTGTGAGGTAACCACGTTCGGAGGGCCGGAGGCTGGCTGACTGGGACTGAAGTCCTCGTCAGCAGCCAACGGATTGTAGCGAAATGTTCATTCGGGTTTTGGGTTTGCTAGGGGATTGACGCGGATGATCCCAAAGCTCATCATTCTGCCACCTGGACAATATGCCAAGTGGAGACGCATTCGCCTACTGTGGGTTAACCCCATTTCACCTTAAAGCCAGGGACCCAAGTTTCTAGAACCTGGGGCAAGTGTTTTAAAGCTGGTTGGGAAAAGCAGGTTTTGTGTCATAAGGGCGCGTGAATTGCAAAAATCGCAAGCGATTTGACTGGTGCCCACAGCTCGCCGGCCAATCAGTAGTTTTAGTCCCAACCAAGTGTTTTACAGTTGGTAAACTTGGGTCCCTGGCTTTAACTTGCACCTTTAACCCTTCATTTTACTAGTTATAAGTGTTTGGAATACTATAAAAAATGAATGAATGAACAAGACACATTAAGCATGCCAACTACTCCTCTCATGCCATAGCTACCTCTAGTAACTCTACACTATCGAAGATTGGAGCACTCGCGCCTTCGATATAGCCCACGTCGTGTTCGAGTGTGTGTATGTGAGCCGACAAAGAGCGAGTTTATTGGGGAAGATAGCAGGTTATTCCTCCTCGAGTCAAGGCAATATGGATGCTCCACTTCCGAAGACTGCTCACTCTCATCGCTGCTCTTCACCGCTCCGTACCACTCATGGACCAAGCAGCCTCGCGGCCCAGCCACATCCACACCTGAACCTCTTATTGGGGGACACGGCAACGACGATGCCTGTGGCACCACTACATTTCTCTCCTGCAACGGCCAGGCAGTTGTTTTTGTTGCCATCACCTCCGCCGCCACCACCGCTGCTGCTGCTGAAAATGGTGCTGCCAGTGCTGCTGCTGCAGCACCTGCAGCACCTGGAGCACCTGGAGCACCCCCTCCCTGCACAGCTTTCTGCTTCACGCATGAACCTGGTGAACCCAGGAGGTGGCCTGTGGCCCCTCACACCCCTGAAACCCCTGCTTCGTGGAGCCTCAAAGGACGGCCCATGACCCTTGGAAGCATTTCCCCGAGGACCTCTGGACGTGGACTTGCCTCATGGGGAAGCTCCTGCTGCCGCCTGTCAGCCACCCACCAGAACACCTGCCGCCTCCACCCACTGAACCATTATGGTCGTTTTGCCGCATCCACGTGCCAACCTGGCTGTCAGACAGGCAGTTGCTGCTGGGTTGGTGGGAGAAAGAAGTGTTAGGAGGGGCTGGTACCCATGCTGCTTCCAGAGCTGCTGCTTTCTTTGAGGACGCCCGCAGCCACTCGTACATCGCCACTTGGCGCACCACCGCGTAGTCCGACTCCTCGTCCTCGCTATTGAGCTCCTTGGCTTCGTTTTTGTAGTCGGCCCCACCTAGCAGTGAATGCTCCGCTATCTCCTTAAAGCGAGACTGCCCTCCAGCACTCCACGCCCTGCTGCCATGCTCTGCATGCTCTTCAGACGGGTGAGCCGCAAGCATGCGTGCATGGCTCACCTCCCATCCCTGCATGCGGCTGTCAGCCATGAATCGGTCCTCCTCCCTCATCTCCCCTTCCTCATCCACCAACAAATGCCCCAATCGTACCTGCCTCCCCTCCCACTCTTGCCCCTGCCCCTGCTTCTCCTGCACCTGCCCCTGCTGCTCCTGCTGCTGCTGCTGCTGCAGCTGCCACGCCCTGCCCCTTCCAGCAGCACCAGACGCCGCCCATGGCACACACACCCCGGATCCTCCACCCTCACCCTCATGCAACACCCTGAATCCCCACCACGGCAGCTCTTGCCCCTATCGGACCAGCACGCACCGCCGCTGCTCTCCTCCCTGCCACAGCCGTTCTTGCCCCTATCGGACCAGCACGCACCGCCGCTGCTCTCCCCCCAGACACGGCAGCAGCTCCAATCCAGGCGCCTGGTACCCCCGAGCTACTCTCTCCACGTCCCTGCCATAGCTGCTGACACCGCTGCTGTTGCTATCCCCGCCGGCCCCTGCACCACACATTACCAATGCCCCCCTGCTGTTCCTGCCAGGGCAGCTCCCAGCGCCGAAGCTCCGCCCCGTAGCTTGGGGAGCTGTTTCCCCTGCTGGCATCGCACCTGGAACCCCCTTGCATCCCCCCTCCTCCCCTCTCACATCCACCCCTCTCATCTGCTCCCTTCTCACGCCTTCCCCAACCCCTCTCACCTCCGCCAACCTTGCACGAAGCCCATCTGCTTGCCCCTACCATCATCCTCTGAAGCTGAGTAGCTCTTGCTAGAGCCACCAGCCCTGCCACAGCTACGGTGACAGTCACAGTTGTAGCCTCTGCTACAGTCACAGCAGCCACAGCTGGAATCACAGTCATCATAGCGGGAGTACCGGTTACAGTCACAGCCAGGGTGGGAGCCAAAGGCACCACCACAGTCACAGTAGCTGTTAGAGTAACAATCACTGTTACCGTCACAGTCGAAGGAAGGGTGATCAAAATGACGGTTTGGTTGATGGGCCAGCAGGAGCTCTGTTGGGCGGTGGGAGGATGGAGAAAGGAAATCCTTGCTATCCCTGACGTGGCGCCTGCAGCTGACTTGGCGCCTGCTACTGACAAAGCACCCTCTGCTGACGTGGCACTTGGTGTAGCTGCACATATCCTCAGGGCCCATGCCACGCCGACCCCTGTCGGAACGTGCCAACGTATAGTCCATGCCATGCGGGCCTTGACACGGCAGCAACCCATGTCGCAGCAGGCACTGCCACCCTCGCCCGTGCAGTCAGTGGCATGGCGGCTAGCACGGCTCTCCCCGTCCTCCCTGCGCCACGCGTTCGCTCTCCTGCCCCCCTCAACGCCGGGACCATTACCATGTCTCGGAAGAGCGTTCACTCGCTCCAGAACGACCGCTGACATGGCAGACTGGCGTTCCCTCTCTCCAGAACGGCTGTAGCAACCAGGGGCAGCCCTTGCCGTCTGATCCCCTCCGAACGCACCCTCTTCACAAGCTTCATTAGTAACATACCGCTCCTCTTCTGTATAAGTCTCTTCTGCTCCCTCAGGCGCCTCTCCTTCTGCATACTCCTGGACTTCTGCGTACACTTCCTTTCCTGTCCACCTCTCTGCCTCTGAATGCCCCTCCTCTTCTGAATACCCCTCCTCTTCTGAATACCCCTCCTCTTTTGAATACCCCTCCTCTTTTGAATACCCCTCCTCTTCTGAATACCCCTCCTCTTTTGAATACCCCTCCTCTTCTGAATACCCCTCCTCTTCTGAATACCCTTCTCTTCTGAATACCCCTCCCCATCTGTCCACTCTTCTTGCCAGCTAAATTGCTCCCCGTCGATATACCCCTCCCCTTCCATACACCCCTCCCCATCCATACACCCCTCCCCATCCATACACCCCTCCCCATCCATACACCCCTCCCCATCCATACACCCCCCTCTAACATCATCAGGAAAGCGCATCCCTTTAGACCCCCCATCGCCTGTCAACCTGGCCCCTCCATCCCAGCTTCCCAGCTCATCCGAATCACAACCCCGATTGCGCATCCGGTCCAAAAGGTGGGGCGCGTTCCTCAGCTCATGCAGCCTCAACAGCAGATTCTGCACTCTAGCAGACATGTTCTGCCTCACAGACATGTTTCGAGTTGCTGTTGCCATGCAACGCGCACCCACTGTGCGGATCCGCTCCTGCAACAAGACTTGGGACGCCTCAGAAGGCTGCACCCTCAAGGACATGCTGTGAGCTGACTCGGATCGGGCGTCCACCTGCTCACTCCTCTTCACTGCCTGCATCCTCAGCGCGGTCGCCATCGGCGCGTCAAACGTTGGCACGTGCGGCGGCGGGGCCCTCGCTTCCTGACCTGGCTCAGGCAGCTCCTGAGCCTGTGCCTGAGCCTGAGCCTGTGCCTGTGCCTGTGCCTGTGCCTGTGCCTGTGCCTGAGCCTGAGCCTCGGAATCATCGGAATCCTCCGAGTCCTCGGAATGCTCCGCCTGCTTCTCACTCGTCCTCACCTCATGTATCTCCTGCATTTTCCTCGCCCCGTGCAGCTGCAGTAGCTGCTGTATCTTCTCTAGGTTGGACCCAATAGAAGCAGACGGTGCTGAAGAATCTTTTAGATGCCTCAAAAGTATCTCTTGCTGTTTCTGCACCTGCAGCAGCTGCTGTCTATTCTGCAGCTGCTTCTGCTGCTGCAGGTTGGACCCGATGGGATCAGGCAGGGCTGTAGGAATGGAGGAGAGCATGTTCGGTGCTGATTCTGACGTGTCTGAGCCATGTTCTGACGTGTCACTGCCGCTGCTGTCCAGGCTGTATCGCAACCGCCTCAGGCTACAACCGCTACAGTGTTCTTGGCTGTAGCCAGGGGTGGTGGCCTTATGGTTACTATTGCTACTGCTGCTACAGCTACTTCCTGTGTTGCATCTCAATGGGCCAGTGCTACAGCTGCTGCTACAGCTGCTCCCTGTGTTGCACCCCAAGAGCTTCCGGCCTTTCTCTTGACCACACATATAGCCTCCCCCGCTGCTGCTTCTGCTGCCGCTGCCGCTGCCGCCGCTGCTGCTGCTACAAGTGCTCTCTGTGCTGCATTGTAACGGATTAGAGCCACTAACCTCGCCATACAAGTAGCTCTTCTCATTCCTGCGCCTGCTGCTGCTCCTTCTCCTGCTGCTGCTGCTGCTGTTGCTGCTGTTGCTGCTGCAGCAGCAGCGCACTGCAAAAGCCGTTACCCCGCTCATTCTCACATGGCTGTGGTCTGCTTCGTGTGAGGGCCCTTTTACATCGCCGCCCCACCTGTGCCCCCCCCCGCTGATGCTGGAACAGCCTGTGCTGCCTGTGCTGCCTGTGCTGCCTGTGCTGCCTGTGCTCTTGCTCTTGCATCGGTTGCGCCACTGTGACCCACCCTGCAGCCGCTTTGCCACAATCCGTGAGATTGCGTGCTGTTGCTGCTGTTGCTGCTGCTCGTGGTGGTATTGGTGCTGGAAGCCATGCTGGTGCTGTTGCTGGTGCTGCTGTTGCTGCTGCTGCTGGTGCTGGTGCTGTTGCTGCTGCTGCTGGTGCTGCTGCTGTTGCTGCTGCTGTTGCTGCTGCTGACGTTGCTGCTGCTGTTGCTGTTGCTGCTGCTGCTGCTGCTGCTGCTGTTGCCCCGTAAGCTCATATTCGTCCCCCTTCCACCCGTTCTCTCCCTTTTCCCACCTGCCGACTCTTTCCGGTACCTCTCCCCTCGCTCCTCCCACCCATTCTCTCCCTCCTCCCACCCTTCCTCTACCTCCTCCTCTCCCTCCTCCCACTCTTCCTCTCCCTCCTCCCACCCTTCCTCTCCCTCCTCCCGCCCTTCCTCTCCCTCCTCCCACCCTTCCTCTCCCTCCTCCCACCCTTCCTCTCCCTCCTCCCACCCTTCCTCTCCCTCCTCCCACCCTTCCTCTCCCTCCTCCCACCCTTCCACTCGCTCCTCCCACCCACTCTCACACTCCTCCCGCCCTTCGTAACCTTCCCGATCCTCTTTCGCTCCCTCCTCTTCCCAACCATTCTCTTCCTTCTCTGATCCATCGTCTTTCTCCTGCTCTCCATTTTCTCCCCCCTCCTCCCACCCACTCTCTCCCTCCTCCCATCCAGCTCTCTCCCCCACCCATTCTCCTCGGCCTCTTTCTCTCTCTCACAAACTCCTCTCTCAGCTCCTGCTTCCTTTCTTGAGTCGACTCAAGAGTCATCCCCCACCCATTCTCCTCGGCCTCTTTCTCTCTCACAAACTCCTCTCTCAGCTCCTGCTTCCTTTCTTGAGTCGACTCAAGAGTCATCCCCCACCCATTCTCCTCGGCCTCTTTCTCTCTCACAAACTCCTCTCTCAGCTCCTGCTTCCTTTCTTGAGTCGACTCAAGAGTCATCCCCCACCCATTCTCCTCGGCTTCTCTCTCTTCTCTCACAAACTCCTCTCTCAGCTCCTGCTTCCTTTCTTGAGTCGACTCAAGAGTCATCCCCCACCCATTCTCCTCGGCCTCTTTCTCTCTCACAAACTCCTCTCTCAGCTCCTGCTTCCTTTCTTGAGTCGACTCAAGAGTCATCCCCCACCCATTCTCCTCGGCCTCTTTCTCTCTCACAAACTCCTCTCTCAGCTCCTGCTTCCTTTCTTGAGTCGACTCAAGAGTCATCCCCCACCCATTCTCCTCGGCCTCTTTCTCTCTCACAAACTCCTCTCTCAGCTCCTGCTTCCTTTCTTGAGTCGACTCAAGAGTCATCCCCCACCCATTCTCCTCGGCCTCTTTCTCTCTCACAAACTCCTCTCTCAGCTCCTGCTTCCTTTCTTGAGTCGACTCAAGAGTCATCCCCCACCCATTCTCCTCGGCCTCTTTCTCTCTCACAAACTCCTCTCTCAGCTCCTGCTTCCTTTCTTGAGTCGACTCAAGAGTCATCCCCCACCCATTCTCCTCGGCCTCTTTCTCTCTCACAAACTCCTCTCTCAGCTCCTGCTTCCTTTCTTGAGTCGACTCAAGAGTCATCCCCCACCCATTCTCCTCGGCCTCTTTCTCTCTCACAAACTCCTCTCTCAGCTCCTGCTCCCTCTCCCACTCTCGCCGTGCCTCGTCCTCTTCCCCCATCTCCCACTCCTCCCCATCCTCCACCTCCTCTTCACCCAGTCCCCACCACCTCTCCTCTTCCTGCTCTTCCTCATGTTGTTTCTCATCATTTTGCTTCTCCTCTTCATCCTCCTCTTCCCTCTCCTCTTCCTCCTCCTCTTCCTCCCCCTCGTCCTCCTCCTCTTCCTCCTCCTCTTCCTCCTCCTCTTCCTCCTCCTCTTCCTCCTCCTCTTCCTCCTCCTCTTCCTCCTCCTCTTCCCCCTCCTCCTCATCCACTCCCCATTCCTCCCCTTCTTTGCCCCCCTCCGCACGGTCTGTCCCTGACCCCTCCTCACATCCCTCGTTTCGATCACCCTCCGGAATGATTTCCTCCTCCTCACTCTCCTCGCATTTTCCCCTTCCCTCCACTGCACTTTCCACGCATCTTCCACTTCCCTCCACTGCACTCTCCACGCAACTTCCCCTTCCCTCCTCTTCACCCTCCATGCCGCCCCCTTCTCCCTCCTCCGCACCACCTCCACCTGTACCACATGACCCCACACCAGATACCCTCGTGACAGATCCACCTGCCCTGGGCATGCCTGAATGAGATGCGCCTGCAGCAGAATCGCCTGCAGCAGCAGCAGCATCGCCTGCAGCAGCAGCAGCATTAGCATCAGCAGCAGCAGCAGCAGCAGCATTATCAGCAGCAGCAGCGGCAGCATTATCGCCACCTATATGCTTGTTTTGAGGCCCGCCCTCAGAATCCATCCCCTTCACGGTCCCCACCCTTCCCGTCTGCTCATTTGCTCGTCGCCCCAGAGATAGAGGGGCGATTCCCAGCCTCCCCATCTGTTCCCTCACTGCTCGCTGCATCGCTGGTGCCCTTTCCACAGTGGCTCCAAGTGCGGTATTCCCGAGGGAGATGCTTCCAAGTGCGGTATTCCCGAGGGAGATGCTTCCAAGTGCGGTATTCCCAAGGTCGTTCTTGGTGGTGCCCTCAAGGGCGGTTCCAGTGGCGTGCAGGCAGGCTTGCAGGAAAGCAGAGGCGCGTTGATGGAGGAGAGGCGAGGTGAGGATGTCCCGCGCACTTGGACGGCCCGACGGGTCCTGAGGAATCCATTGGATGGGCGATTGGGAGTTGCATTGGGGGAACAGGGGGGGGGGGGGGGTGGATGGGTGGATGGGGATAGAGGTGGGAAAGGAGCGCAGGAAGACAGGAGTGCGTTGATGGGGGAACGGTGAGGTGAGAACGCCTGGTGCACTGGGTCGGTCAGAAGGGATCTGGGGGGAGTATGGGGAAAAGGGGGAGTATGGGGAAAAGGGGGAGTATGGGGAAAAGGGGGAGTATGGGGAAAAGGGGGAGTATGGGGAAAAGGGGGAGTATGGGGAAAAGGGGGAGTATGGGGAAAAGGGGGAGTATGGGGAAAAGGGGGAGTATGGGGAAAAGGGGGAGTATGGGGAAAAGGGGGATGCATTGGGGGAGGAGGGGGTTGGATGAAGAACACGCAGGCATGTACACATGTAACTGAACGAGCTCTGCAGCACTGCACGAGCTCTGCACGAGCTCTGCACGAGCACTGCACGAGCTCTGCACGAGCACTGCACGAGCTCTGCACGAGCTCTGCACAAGCTCTGCACGAGCTCTGCACGAGCTCTGCACGAGCACTGCACGAGCTCTGCACGAGCTCTGCACGAGCACTGCACGAGCTCTGCACGAGCTCTGCACGAGCTCTGCACGAGCACATGTCTGGAGAGATAATCAATAGACGGCCCCAACGCAATTGGAGGTACCTGAGAGTGCCGCATTCACCTGAGATTTTTGAATTCACCTGAGAATGTTGAATTCACCTGAGATTGTTGGATTCACCTGAGAGAGCATCCGCCTGACGAGCGCACAGAGGTCAGGAGAGTAACTGCCAGACGTTGGGTGGAGACGAGTGAGGGAAGGGCAGAGAGAAGGGGAGTGGGAGAGTGGGATAGACAAGTGATGCTGGAAAGGAGAAGTGATAGCGAATGCGCTAGGACGTCGAGTGGAGAAGAGAAGTGGAGAAGTAAGGCGGGGGGAGGGGGAGGAGGAGGAAGAGTGGGATGGTGAGTGTTAGCACATGAAAGCGTGGCTGGGTGAAGAAAAACTGGATGAGAAAACAGCGGACTGGGCAGAACATTCTCACCCAAACGGCTCCTAACGCGACGGCATGGGGTCATGGCACATACTAAGGAGCATGGGGTCATGGCACATACCATGGCGGCATGGGGTCATGGCACATACCATGGCGGCATGGGGTCATGACACATACCATGGCGGCATGGGGTCATGGCACATACCATGGCGGCATGGGTTCATCGCACGTACCATGGCGGCATGGGGTCATGGCACATACCATGGCGGCATGGGGTCATGGCACATACCATGGCGGCATGGGGTCATGGCACGTACCAAGGCGGCATGGGGTCATGGCTCGTACCATGGCGGCATGGGGTCATGGCTCGTACCATGGCGGCATGGGGTCATGGCTCGTACCATGGCGGCATGGGGTCATGGCACGTACCATGGCGGCATGGGGTCATGGCACATACCATGGCGGCATGGGGTCATACCATGGCGGCATGGGGTCATGGCTCGTACCATGGCGGCATGGGGTCATGGCTCGTACCATGGAGGCATGGGGTCATGGCTCGTACCATGGCGGCATGGGGTCATGGCTCGTACCATGGCGGCATGGGGTCATGGCACATACCATGGCGGCATGGGGTCATGGCACATACCATGGCGGCATGGGGTCATGGCACGTACCATGGCGGCATGGGGTCATGGCTCGTACCATGGCGGCATGGGGTCATGGCACGTACCATGGCGGCATGGGGTCATGGCACGTACCATGGCGGCATGGGGTCATGGCTCGTACCATGGCGGCATGGGGTCATGGCACATACCATGGCGGCATGGGGTCATGGCACGTACCATGGCGGCATGGGGTCATGGCACATACCATGGCGGCATGGGGTCATGGCACATACCATGGCGACATGGGGTCATGGCACATACCATGGCGGCATGGGGTCGTGGCACGTACCATGGCGGCATGGGGTCATGGCATCCCGCCAGCACGAACGACACGAGCTCTTGGATGGATGTGGCGGGGAGCGCCGGCTCGCTGAAGCTCATGGCCCCATGGAGCAGGCTGCCGAGCGCCCATACGTCTGAAGGTGGGTTGAGGGTCGATAGGCGAAAGAAGGGGGATAAATGCATTGGACGCCATGCGGCGGGGAGAGATGGCTCGCTAAGGTCATGGCTCGCTAAGGTCATGGCCCGTTGGAGCAGGCAGCTGAAGGCCCATATGTCTGTGGGGGGGAGGGGGAGTGGGGTGGGTGGAAGAAAGGGTGGGGAGAGAGAGACGGGAAAGAGGGAGAGAGAGAGGGAAGGAGGGGGAGAGGGCGTGTGGGTGCATGGATTTGTATGGATGTGAGGTAAGGGATGGATTGCAGCACATGGCTGTTGAGTCAACTCAATGGTCACCTTCCATGTGAGGCAGGGGGTGGATTGCAATTTGCAACACAAGGATTGACGGTTTGGCCAAGCCGCTGCTGAGCACCCGCTTGGCTGTGCAGGGGTGCCGATACTTCCATATCATGTCAACCATCGTTTCATCTCGCTTGTCATCTCACCTGACTTGCAGTCGTACGGTTCCTGGCGTATCATCTCAGGCGCCATGCGCAGGGGAGTCCGAATGAAGCCACTGGCTAGCCGCCCTCGCCCCTCTCCCCACTCCCGCCCCTCGCGCCCCTCTCCCCGCTCGCGCCCCTCCACCTCCTGCGAGACGCCAAAGCCGCCCAGCCGCACAGAGGCGGGGCCCAGCTGCGTATTGTTAGGGGAGTTGCAGAGAAAAACGTTCCTGCCCTGTTGGATAGGGGGAGAGGGGAGAGGCGGTTTTGGTGGGGGAGTGGGGAGAGGAGTTTCGGGGGAGGATTGGGGAGTGGTGAATGCATATGCTCAAGGGAAAGGGTAGGGCATGTGCGCATTGTACGGGCTTCAAGGCGCTTCACATTCGTACCTTGATGTCTCGATGCAGCGCGTTGCGGTGGTGTATGTGCTCTAACGCCAAGGGACGGGGCGGGGGTTGATGGATGTGCTTCATGTACCTTCACATGCATGGAGTACCTCCATGCATACTAGGTGACTTTTGAGTCGACTCAAGAGCCGTTTCATGTACCTTCACATGCGTGGAGTACCTCCATGCACACTGATTGCATGCGTTATAATGCCTAAGTATGCAATCTACCTTCACACGTGTACCTCGATGCATCGGTGCTGCACGTTGTGGTGGTGCATGTGCTCCAGAGCCAAGGCCAGTTGCAGCAGCCAGTGGAGAATGCTGTGCTCGGTATACTGGAGGAATGCCAAGAGGGAGGGAGGGAGGAACGGGAGGGGGGAGGAAGAGCGGAAGGGGAAGTTGCAGCAGGCAAATGATCGGGGAGAGGGATCACTGGGATGTGAGGAAGGAAAGGGAGAGCAACTATCAGGCCAAAGCACCAGAGAAGCACATGCAGTGCGCCACAACGGTAGAAAGTAAGGGAGCTCTGAGGCAGGAAGTAAGTGTAGAGTGAGTAGGCGTGAAAACGGGCTGTTATTTCTACTCTATTTGGTCAAGCGCGCTCAGCAAGCAGTGGGAGAGGAGTACAACAGAGACAATGTGTTGCTCGCAGTGACTCATGGGGGAACCCAGATGTAAGCAAACAACCCTCTGGAAACTCACAACGAGCGGCTGTCGTGGTGCTTCTTGATGAGCTCGGATAGTGTTTCCCCTCCACAGTGCTCCGTCACTGTGGCACACGACGCACACAGACAGTGATGATGGAGTCGAAGCGTCGAAGCAATGACGGGAGAGAGCAGCGCGTGTCATTGCCCGAAGTTCAGAGCACGGAAACACCCTCGGGAATACCGGTGCACCCATCATTGAGACTTGGGAATACCGATGCACCCATCATTGAGCCTTGGGAATACCGATGCACCCATCATTGAGCCTTGGGAATACCGATGCACCCATCATTGAGCCTTGGGAATACCGATGCACCCATCATTGAGCCTTGGGAATACCGATGCACCCATCATTGAGCCTTGGGAATACCGATGCACCCATCATTGAGCCTTGGGAATACCGATGCACCCATCATTGAGCCTTGGGAATACCGATGCACCCATCATTGAGCCTTGGGAATACCGATGCACCATCATTGAGTTGCCTTAGGATACATCCAATCTTAGGTTTGCCCGATGCACTGTCCCTATTATCTCGCTCACCAATGCACATGCTTCGTGTTGCCTTGTCGATAAACGTCTCCTGCACGCACGCGAGCAGGGAGAGAGTGAGCCACGTCATGATTGGTCAAGTCGAACCGCGTCATCTCAGCCACGTCG